CCTCATCCTCCTCCTCTTCTTCCTCACCCTGTGTTTAGAGAACACCTGTCTTCGCAACCAGTATCGCTGCAGCAACGGGAACTGTATCAACAGCATTTGGTGGTGTGACTTCGACAATGACTGTGGAGACATGAGCGATGAGCGGAACTGCCGTGAGTTCTCAGGGGTGACCTGTGAGAGACAGGGCGCGGCAGGCGGGGTGGCTTCTTCTAGGCCGGGCCCTGGAGACGTTGTGCTGGCCGCCACCATGGCTGAGGCCCGAAGGGGCTCAAGGGGGGTGGGAAACAGCAAAGCACATCACACCACGCATCATGTCCTGTCTTTATATGTCATTATATCCCGTCGGTGTTCTCTCTATTCGATATCATGTCTACATTCCATTCACATGATGCAGCCGACTATCCTTTGCAATTAATAAGCACCCACAGTTGAAACAGCCAGTTTGGTGATCTGGCTTCTGATCTAGGCTTTAGCACTGTGATGAAACTGGTGACTTGGAGTAGTGCCGTTGTTTGATTTCCAAACTCAGTGCTCAGCCTTCATAGAGACAGGCAGCAGTATGTCCACACGTACTTTACTCCAGTTAGTTGGTATTGGCTGCCTGCCACACTCCAGAGAGCTAGTTAGAACGGATTAGTGATGAATGTGGGCTGGGCCGTGGAGTACCTCGCACCCAAGTCTCTGTACTGAATAGGTTTGACACTTCAGCTGAAGCACGTGACTCTAGTTAACAGTGTTTATAGATAAATAAGCAGTTACTTAAGCTTAGCTAGCCTTTCTTCACTTAATGTTTTCTGTTTGTTTGTTTTGGGTTTTGGGGGGGAGCTCTGGTCTGGTTGTTTGTTTTTTTGCTCCAGCTGGAGCTCTATCTGTGAGCCACACCTCCACTTCTGGCTTGTGGCTAGTGAATTGGCGATAAGAATCTCAATCTCACAGACTTTCCTGCTGGGGCCGGTGTTGCGGCTTGGATGGCAGCCTCTGGAGTAGCTTGGCTTACTCGGCCTGCTTTTTCACGCTGCTTCCTTTGGCAGCGCGGAAGCTGTCTTTCCCATGGGCGCTGTAAGCACGGGTTGCCAGGCCTCTGCATGCTCGGTTGGTTTAGGCCTTCATCCTGGAGCAGATGCCACATTTCCATGCCATTTCACCCTGAGAGAAAGTCTAGAGATAGGACCTCCTTGGGCTCACCCAGGCCCCGCATGACTGTGCCCTGCCCCCGTGGGCTTGCGGGAGGTGACCACGGAACCCTGTCCCCTGTCCCCTGTGCCTGTTCCGCTCCTATGCACAGATGGCGTTGATCAAGCCTCACGGGGAAGCGTGGTATCGGCAGGAGACTAGACTGAGCTCCCCAACAACATTAACAAACGGCGTTACCAGTGTGAAGTAGAAAATGGGTTTGTTACATAATCAAGGCAGGGCAGTGGTTAGCAGGTTTAAGAAAACTGCCCTGACTTTAATAATTACGGTAGAAGCAGAGAGATGTAAGGTAAATAAACCCAAGTCCAGTAGCCAGGGATAAAAGGCAGTTCACTACTACTCCCCGAGCCCCAGGCTCGCTTCCCTCGGACTGGACAAGCTGCCGGTTCCACGTGTTCGGAGGAACCAAAACCTGCACATTTAAGGAAGAGCCTGCTGGCCCCGGGACTTTCCCATAGCTGAAACACACTCTGGATGCATGTGGCTGCCTCTGTCCTCCTCCTGGTTTGGCCTGTGTCATCTGGGACTAGATTTTCTGTAATCCCATCCTGACCTGCTCTTGCTCTGCTGTCTCCCACGACCACTCGGCTCGGGTTCCCACAAGTCAGATGTGTGATGGGGTGAGGTGGTGAGGGACTCGGGGATTTGAAGCCAGTCGCATGGGGACACCCCAGAGGGGTGTCTGGGCCTTCAGATCCCTCTCCTTATAAAGAGAGAGGGGATGATGGAGATGCTGCGGCACCCTGCCCACCGCAGGCCAGGGACAGCCGTGTGCTGGGCAGAGCGCTGGAGGAGTTGGAGTGGTACCCGTCAGCCGCCAGGGAAGAGACGAAGGGTGTGCGGGGGGACACGGGAGGAGGGAGGCTGCCAGTCATTTCCCTTCCTGTTAAACAGACTCCTCCAGCTGGGCGGACGGCAGGCTCGGGGGTTTTGACGTGAGTCCCCTGCAGTCTTGTCATTTTGCATTCATCCCTTGCCTCCCACGTGAGCTCAGTTTCAGAGGAGACACGGAACCTCCAGCAGGAGCTGCCGGGCTGTCTGACAGCAGTGTTACATGTCACTCCCAGCCTCCCGCCCAGAATTCCGCTCTGTCACTCTGTTACCTTTCCTGGCGGCCCCTCTGCTACCCGGGAGGGCAACCTCGCCTTCCCCCGCCTTCCTGCAGGGCTTTTCCTGGGTCCCTGGGCTTTCTACAAAAGCCAGACACGTTCTGATCAGGAAAGGGAGGAAATCTCCGTCCGTGGTGCCAGAAGCGCCTGTCACAAGTTGAGGAAGAAAAGTGTTGTGTTTGGAGCCTGTTAGCTCTCGCTCCTATTTATTACATAGACTTCAGCCCCAAGCCTGTTTTCTTACTTAATTCCGGTTATACTCTCTTTGTGCTATGGTACTGCCAGCTAGCCCTTATCTGCACTTGATGAGAGAGGAGACAGAGGCACAGATGGTTAAGTAGGTGGCAGGAAGCCAGGTCCAAGCCCACTCTTTCTGCCTGTGATCACAAGTGTTAGTTTGCCCTCATTTGACTGCTGAGGAAACTGAGGTTTGGGGAGGTGAAAATCATCTGCCTAGGGAAGCGGAAGAATGAGGGTTAACACTTGGTCCGGACTGACAAAGAAGCCCACACCCTGCGTTTCTGGGCGGTTTTCAAAACAGCACAATTCCAGCTTCCGTGGGGAATCGAACCACCTCAATAGGAGTTTTCTAGATAAAGGCATGGCTGTCAGTGACCTGGGGGACATCTTCACATCTGAAGGGACTCAGGAGGGGAGGCAGCCCCTCGCTCCCACACAGCGTCTGGCCCTTGCAGACCCTGTTCCTATCCGACGCTGACCCCCGGAAGATGGCTCTGCTGTGGTTGTGCGCTTCTGGTTCTCATGAAGTATATTTCTTAGGTGAAATTGACGTTTGATTTCTGTGTTTGTCATTCAAGTTGGCCTCCTTCTGTGTTCTTTGGTCTTTTCTTGTTAACTCGTTTTCTGAAGGGAAGTTTGTGTCGAGGGGAATTAGCTGTCCCTCATGAGGGTCTTGTCTATCTCATTGTAGCTACCACCGTCTGTGACGTGGACACCCAGTTCCGGTGCCAGGAGTCGGGGACCTGCATCCCACTCTCTTACAAATGTGATCTTGAGGATGACTGTGGAGACAACAGTGACGAGAGGCACTGTGGTAAGAGGATGCTGCGCGCAGAGCCCCTTCTGAGCGGAGGGGACCGTGCCTGCCGGCGGGCTGCACTGACGGGCAGGGAGGGCTGGAAAAGAGGGATTTCTGAGAGTCATTTCGGGGTTCATCATCTTCCAGTTGCAGGGCCTCCCCCATCCACGAGGCAGCGTTGAGCCTTCCTTCCTCTTCCCTTCTTACAGGGCTTGTTTGTTTGTTTCGTGAGCATTTGGTTCTTCGGGTCATGCTTGATGTAGAGTTAATGGGTTGCAGAAGTAAGGAAGGAAAAGATGGGGCCTGGACTCATTACAGTCACTTACTCTTCGATTGTGCTTGTTTTCTAATTGGAAAAAGGAGAAAATGAATTCTTTTTGCCATGTAGATATTCTATCAAAGGGAAATGTGCCAGCCAGAGAGTAAGCTTCTGTTTTCTTTCACTTTGCATGTATGTTTGTGCCGGAAGTGGGGCTTGACCTTAGCTCTATTTGCTTAGCTCTACCATTTAGCTTTTTGGTAGCTAGTTGAAGATAAGAGTCTCATAGACTTCCCTGTGAAACTCATAGACTTTGCTTTGAACTGCAGTCCTCAGATCTCAGCCTCCTGAGTTTCTAGGGTTACAGACAGGAGCTCCCAGTGCCTGGCAAAGCAATGGATAGGGAGGCAGGAACTCGACCCACCCTCTCTAAGCGGGTGTGAGAGTAGCCTAGTGAAGGTTGGATCTACAGCTTTGTGAGCTGGGATTCCCCACCCCCCCGTGAGTATCATTCAGTAAATTCTGCTAAAAGTCAGCAGGCAATGTAAGCATTGATTGGAGCTTCTGCCTTCCGAATGGTAAACTTTAGGTTAGGAGAATAACGTGTTAGCAGTGTAAGCAGTGATAGGGCTTGTCTAGTCCCGTCCTTTTAATTTCCACATTCACTGACTGTGTCCATCTTCCTGATCTCCCCGGGGCGGGGGTGGGGGGAAGCGGGCTGGCTCGAGGAGGCCCAGTGAACTTGTGTCTGAGGGGGGTCTGGGACCTGGATCCTGCTTGGCAAGCTCACGCTCTTCCTGTCGCACAGAGCTGTGCTGTCACTGTCATGAGCCCTGTCTTAGTTAGCAGGCTCTGGGCCCAAACTCCTTTGTTGGCAGAGACATTATGCAATGCTCACAGTGCACCAGATGGGAGACCCATCAGCCTGAGTGAGAAGTGAGAATGGAGACCAGACACCAAGCCAGACGTGGTGATGGGTTGGTGTGGCTCTGTCTCAGTCATCCCCTCTTTCCTGTCCATCCATCCATCCATCCATCCATCCATCCATACACACACACACACACACACACACACACACACACACACACACACGGCCTGCTTCCTTTATTAGGAGCAGGTAAATGGACTCACAGGGGCTAAAAAAGGGGGAGCAGGCGGGGCTCATGATTCGTTTTAACACACAAACTAATGGCTCAGGAAACTCTGCTGAAAGTCAGAGGTGATGGAGTACATTTGAGAACACCTTCTGGGAGGACTGGCTTCCTGTTTCCATAATGGAACACGTCCATGGGGTTCGTGCTCAGTTGCGCTTCCTTCTTGCCATCTCCTCCCTACTTTTCTCCAAAGGTTGAAGTGTATTGTGAGTCTTGGTCTAGTAGAGTGGGAATCCTGTGTGTCTCCTTATTTCCAGACTCATCTCCCTCCCTCCCTGGGGCACATGGTTGACCATTCGGCTCCCATCTTCACTCCTGGCCCATTCCTGCTCCTGGGTCCTAATCCATCCCCGGGTCCCACGAACCCCTTCTCTGGAGTAGACCCTCTTCATACGCCTCAGGCTCTTTTCTCATAAATAGCTCACTCACCACCTCTGCTTGCAACCTGCTTCTAGGTCAGCCCCCTGGGCTCTGTGCTTTGCTACCCCCATTTTTTGAGGCTCGAGAAAGTTCTACTACAAAGTTCTGAGCCTCTGTTCTTTTCAGGTATAGTAAAAGTTTTAGACTGCGTAGCTCATGAGCAACAGAAGTTCATTCCTCCCGTTCTGGGCTGGGAAGTGCAAGGTCCCGATGTCCACACACTTGGTGCCTAGGAAGAGCCTGTTCTTTTCGACACGGATTTACCCTTAGTCCTCCTCTGAAGGCCTCACTCTGGTGATTAAGCTTCCATCTTCGAGTTTTGGGGACATGTTCCAACCATAGTGCCTGTCTCACAACGCCGCTAAGGACCTATTTGCAGCATCGTCTGTGGGAATTATTCTAGATGGCTTCCTGTCCTGGGTACAGCGCTCTCCTTCCGCAGTGGCTGCCTGGGTGCAAGGCTCTCTGTCCGTGCTACCTACTCCTGCTCGGTGCTGTGGGTCCCCCGCGAGCCCCTGTGAAACTGGACTCCAGTTGGGGAGGCGGGCTGGTGCCCTCACGTCTCCGTCTGTCATCCCCCCACAGAGATGCACCAGTGCCGGAGTGAGGAGTACAACTGCAGCTCCGGGATGTGCATCCGCTCCTCCTGGGTGTGCGACGGAGACAACGACTGCCGAGACTGGTCTGACGAAGCCAACTGTACCGGTCAGTACCGCCCAGACCCAGCGAGCCGCATCGCCCGCTCACGTTCCGGTTAGCCGCATGGCCTTGCGTGATCACAGGGCGTGGACTCTGGGGATTAGCTTACACGTTAGGAGCCAGCTAGTTCAGTCCATCTCAGAGAGCGGGCCTGGAATACAGAGCTGGAGTCGGAAGGCAAATGAACTCCCTTCCTCCCTGCTTGGAGGAAATCTCACTAAGAGAAATGGCAGAGGACCGACCAGCATTCTGGGTGATGTAGTTGCTTTATGTTCTGACTCAGGTCTTCTCAGTTCTTCGGGACCAGGAAGAAATACTTCACAGACTGACTCTTGGTCTAGAGACCATCCTTTTGAGCTTTACTATCTGAATAACATGAGCTAGGTGATCTTATTCAAATGGAAAAATCTGAGGATTGACCTAGATAAGTAAAACATGGACTGTGCTTATACCTCCTTGAGGTAAGATTTCATTCAAAAAATAAGTTGGGAACACCACGAATAGCAGGGGATACTAGATGGCCTAAGTTAAGGGACATGCTCATTCATGCTCACCGCATTATTTTTATGAATGAAGAGTGCGTGGTGATCATTTACCTCATGCTGTATGTACGTACGTGTGTCCGGGGGAGGGTATTAAGTAGAATCAGAAGTTAAGATGGTTGTGGAAGAATAAAAACAAATATTCTACTTAATACTTACCACTTCAGTCCTATACTTCTAGATAATTGTAATTTGTCAAAAACATGAAATAGGAAATGGAAGATCCCCAAATCCCATGTGAGGAGTAATTCCTCTGCCCGTCTCTAGATGGCACCGTTCCGTCTGCAGCCCTAAACCCCCTGCAGTGGTCTCTGGCATCCTGCGGATGCTCCAGGCTCTCGAGCAGTCTCCAGGGCTGCAGCTCTGCTCTGGGAGAGCTTCTGGAAAGTGCTTTTCTAAGTGTGAAGAAAAGCAGCAGAATGGCTGCCATGATCCCAGGGTGCGCGTGCGTGCTGCCTGGAAGCCTGGGTTCGGATGGATAATTGGGTGATAAATGGGGAGGGTACCCGTGGGCAGCTCAGTCTGTAGATTGCAGGATGATTGAACAGCTCGTTAGCACAACCACGTTGGTCCAACTCATGTACCGGCAGTGAGTACTAGTCTTCCAGAATGAATTCACGGCTCCAGTTCCGTGGGCGGGCTGTCATACAGACTCTGGCTTTTTATCTCTGGTTTTCTTCTGCCAGGGCTCGTCAGGGAAAGTTTAGAGCTTTGCCATTCAGCTGCAGCCTGGTTCCAATGGCTGTTCTTGCAAAGATGGGTTTCTCCTCTTCCTCTGTTCAGCTGAGGTTTTCTTCCCAGGCTGGCTTTGAACTGTGATCCTCAGATTTCAGCCTGCTGAGTAGCTAGGATGACAGGCATGAGCCACTGGTGCCTAGCACCTTTCCTTGTTGGAGTCCACAGGTTAAATTGCTTTCTTCCCCCACCAGTGCTTGGTGAAGGCCTTTGGTCCTGTGCTCTAGTGGGGCTTGGTGACTCCAGGAGGGTTGAAGTCTGAGAATTAGGCAGGGCTTATGTAATGACCTCTATCAGAAACTCCAGCTGCCTCTCCGGACCACTCGCTGTCAGAGCCTTTCCACTCCTGCAGTTGTGGCCAATCCATCAGAGAGCCAGAATTCTTTTCTTCCCTTAGAACTTTAGCTTGGATTAAAAATCAACCCTTTCCATGTTGATGATCTTAAAACTATTTATTGGGGCTGGGAAGGTGGCTCAGTGGTAGAGCGCTTGCCTTGCATGCCTGAGGCCCTGGGTTCGATTCCTCAGCACCACATAAAGAAAAAAGCCGGAAGTGGCACTGTGGCTCAAGTGGTAGAGTGTTAACCTTGAGCTGAAGAGCTGAGGGACAACTCCCAGGCCCAGAGTTCAGGCCCCACGACCGGACCCCCCCCCAAAAAAAAAAGAGTCAGCAGAGTTGTCTGCCTGGGCTGGCTTAAAAAAAACAAAAACAAAAACTATTTATTGAACACAATGATTTACCCTGCACTCAAAAATCACATAGCTTCTAAATTAGAAAAATCCAGAAGGGGGCTGGGAAGGTGGCTCAGTGGTAGAGCTCTTGCCTTGCATGCATGAGGCCCTGGGTTGGACTCCTCAGCACCACATAAGCAAAAAGAAAAAAAGCCTGAAGTGGCGCTGTGGCTCAAGTGGTAGAGCGCTAGCCTTGAGCTGAAGAGCTGAGGGACAGCGCCCAGGCCCAGACAGAGTTCAGGCCCCACGACTGGACCCCCCCCCTAAAAAAAATCCAGAAGAAAGACAATATGTTCCACATTCTGGTCCATCTTGGCCACTTGAGTGTGGTTGTGTGAAGTGTTGGATCTTTCTGGTCTCGGTCTGGGATGGAAGCCGGAGATCTCGGATATGCCTCCCAGAATTATCATTTGGACACCATACTAGCGCTTTGAAATTGTTTCCAATTAAAAAAGAAATGCATAGCCAGAATAATAATAAGTAGATTAGTATGCTAATTAGTTTAGGTAACTCTATGTGTTATGAAAGCAGAGAAGGCTTTCATGAAGAATATATATCTTTTAATGTTATCAGATACCTATACTCAAAAGTATTCCAAGTAATGGCAGAAACTCAAGTAATATACTTTATTTATTCCTCTTATCTACGTTAGAAGGTATGTTTGTTTACAGATGTTTATTGGATTCTGAGTGCCAGATATAGTGGATGTACAGATTTATTTATGTGCTACCCAACACTGCTTTGGTCTTCTGAGAGATGCAGGGACACAAATAATGGATCACTCCTTGCTCTAAAATAGTGCGAGGAATCAGATTTGCTGTCCTTCTGACAAAAAAAAAAGCCCAAATTCAGTCCTGGAGGACTGTAAGCCAATGTCCCCAACCTCTGAGCAGTTCATTTCTAGTCAATTGAATAAAAAGCTACATTTGCTCTCAACAACCCAGTGTGGTTTGTTTTATGTTCTTCTGTTACAAAGATGCCTAGTCACACAGTTAAATTAATGGGGGGCCCATCCAGTACCCTTTCCCCATTCACACTTTTTGTTGTTGTTGATGGTAGTGGTTATAGGGCTTGAACTCTGAGCCTGGATGCTGTCCCTGAGCTCTTTTGCTTAAGGCTAGCACTCTACCACTTTAGACCACAGTTCTACCTCTGGTTTTCTGGAGATTAGAGTCTCACAGACTTTCCTACTCGGGCTAACTTTGAACCTCGATCCTCAGATCTCAGCCTCCAGGTCTTAGCCATGGCCTATAGCCATAGTTGTAGTTTAGTATTAGTTGACTATTGACGTCATCATCTTGTTGTATCCATGATGAAAATTCATTATAGGTTTGCATGTATGTATGAGGAGAGGGTCAGAACTATGCAAAGTCTGAGGCATCCATGGACTCTCTTAGAATATAATAACCATCTCCTGTGGCTAAGGCAGGACTAGCGTGCAGGGTTCCATGCAGGTGGTACACAGTGCACAGTGGGCAGACACATAGCTCTCTGTTTTCAAGGGAGTAGGTGTTTGTACTGCTGGTTGGGTTTGAGGAACATTTAGGCGCTTGAGCTGAGATGTTAGGAACATTAGGAAATGACTTCCAGGTGGCCTTAACCCACGTGTGCAAGTGAGCCTGTTCATTCTTCAGTGACAGCTCCTCTAGCTTCTTTGTTTTTCTAAGTGGTTGTTATGTGTCATTGGTCAGTAGACGCTGCTTTTCCTTATACATAAGACCAGGCAGATGGTTCTGTGCTCTGAGGCCTGCTTGCTTGGAAACCTCGGGTGAATCTGTTACGGTTTGGGGGCCTGAAATGTTTCACATTTGAATGGGGAGTTTCCTGTAGCATTATATAAAGCCCCGGCCCTTCAGAGCTTAGGGGAGCCCCGAGCTGGTAGCCTCAGGAGGTGAAGCTGGGGGACCCCACACCGTGGCTGGGTGAGTGAGGGGCTTCTGTGAGGGATAACGCGCGAGGCATGGTAGGAAGAGGACAGGCTTTGGACGAGGACAGCCCTGCTGTGAGTTCCTTACTCTCTCCCAGCTGTGGAAGGGGAGTACTGTGGTGCCTACTCTATGCTCCCTTAGAAGAAGTGACTGTTGGGCGTGAGCCTGGGGGCCTGTGCCGTGGCGTAGGCAGCACCGTGTAGCCGACACGGAGCCCTGCCCACTGTGGCTCCGATGCTCTATCGCCCCTCGGAGGAGCCGCTCGGGTGCCGCAGCCATTCAGGCTCGGTGCCCCCTGTGCAGTTGGAGGGGGGGCGGAGGGCGGGCGTGACGCTGTCCTCTCTCTGTTGGCAGCTATGTACCACACCTGCGAGGCCTCCAACTTCCAATGCCACAACGGGCACTGCGTCCCCCAGCGCTGGGTGTGTGACGGCGATGCGGACTGCCAGGACGGCTCTGACGAGGACCCAGCCAACTGCGGTACGCACGGTGCCTGGCCCCCCGGGGAGCTTCCGCACGGTGGGGTCTGCCGCGGCGGCAGAACAAGCCCACCCATGCCGCGGCCTGCTGCCTGCCCTGTGGTGTATCAGGACGTGGCGTCCAGTCTTAACTCTCCAGCAGCCGTGTAACATTTCACCCCACCACAGAACAACACACGTCAGGTGTCCGGTGGCTCTCACCTGTCATCCTAGCTACCCAGGAGGCTGAGATCTGGGTAGGAAAGTCTGTGAGACTCTCAACCCCAATTAACTATCAAAAAACCTGGAATTGGTAGAATGCTAGCCTTGAGCATAAAAAAGCTCAGGGATGGTGCAAAGGCCCTGAGCTCAAGCCCCGGTACTGGCATAAACACAAAGTATATTGTGAATAATTTATAATGATAAAGTGAAAACTCAGGTAAGTAAAACAAAGAAATGTACATATTCTGGGCCAGCTTCAAACCTTGATTGTCAGATCTCAGCCTCCTAAGAAGCTAGGATTATAAATATGAGCCACTGGTGCCCCGCTCCTACTGTGCTTTTTGTCATTAGTAGAGAATGTATGAAAAGTTCACTCCAAAAGACTCTGCTGTGTTAGGCCATTAGCAGCCTCGTGCATCTGTTCTTCCTGCCTGTTGATTGCATTTGGAACCCCTGAGTGACACACAGCATTCCACCCTCTTCAGTATAAATGCTCACCACGATGTTCACATGGTGACAAGATCCACCGACTCATTTCTTAGAATGTATTGCTGTCTTTAAGTGACATAACTGTATAGACAAATAGAAATGAACCCTTGTCCTATTTTATACCAATAAGATGCTGTGCATGTTACTCTCCACATTTATGTTGTTGTTGTTACTCACATAGTTGTATTTCTGGCACAGAACTATGCCCAGAGCCCTTCTTTAATCACGTGTAGCTATCCAGTGCCATTTGTGGAACAAGCCTCTGCTGGCAGAGATGCCGGTGGTTTTGCATCTATTACAAGGTGTTGTAATGGAATACCTCTTCTTCCATTCAATATGGGTTGAAGGTGGAACACATTTCTACGTTTGGAATTGCTGGACCTCAGCATATAGACACTGGTCATTTTGCTAGCCGTGGGTGCCGTCTCTTTAGGGAGGGTGCAGGTGGGTGTTCTGCCCAAACGTACTCGAGTGCTGGCCTGTTTCCTCCGCTTCATTCTTCCCCATCCTTGGGTTAAATTTCAGAGAAGAAGTGCAATGGGTTCCACTGTCCAAACGGAACGTGCATCCCATCCAGCAAACATTGTGACGGTCTGCGTGACTGCTCGGATGGCTCGGACGAGCAGCACTGTGGTGAGTTGTCCCCACCGCCCCCCCCCCAGGGCTTGCAGGGCCCAGTGGGAGCCTGGACCCAGTGCTTCGATTTCTTCACTACCTTCTTGGCCTTATGGATGGGGGGGCGGGGGAAGCGGGGGTGGATCGTGGGTGAGTTCCCCTCTGGGGGATGTTCCTGTTTCACTCCTGTGTCTTCTGCGAATCAACAGCTTGTTTTTGCCAGTCCACTTCTTCTGTGTTTCTCGGTCTTGCTGGATATCACTTGGGAAGCATTTCTAGGCCAGGCACCCATTCCTACCCCATTTTCTTTAGACCCACAAGGATGACCTTTTCAGCGTTGTGTATCTTGAACTCACCCGAGACGCTTTAGAAGTCACGGGTGCCTGGACACCACCTCCGGACATGCCTTGCAGGCCGCAAAGGCCCTCAGAATCATTTGGCCCGTGACAGGATGCACACGTGTGCTTCTTGTAAGCTCCTTGTGGGCTGCCAGTGAGCGCCTGCCTGTGTCGAGTGCTTTTGTATGACCTAGCAGTGATGGCACAGAGTGTTGCAATGGTAGCCCTAGGCAGAAAAACGGTTCCCTACTCCTGAGCACAGGCTAGGGTTCAGAGATCTTTTTTTCTGAAGTATTCCAGGCAATTCTAAAATGCATTCCATGTTCTGAGCTGGCTTAGGGCAGCAGTGGACAAGATTCTACCCCTACCTGGTGCTTTCAAATGACACTGCATTTGAACACAGTGGCTCTTGTTTCTTGCTTACTTACTGAATGGAGCATCACTTACTGGTGACACTTGAAGAGCTGCCAGTCATTGTTCTCTGCATTCGTTGGGGTTTTCCAGAGAAATGAGCAGCAGTGTGCAGGTAGTTGGCCTGCCCGATTATGGAGGCTGGCTGGTTCAAATCTGCAGGGTCAGGTCCAAGAGGTGTCGGGCTGGAGACCCAAGAAAGAGCTGGTGGTGGTCAGCTCTGAAGGCCGTGGCCTGCCTTGTGCTCATGTGGCCTTTCCTGTCCACATGCATGCCCAGCGACTTGTGCAGACGCCTGTCCTGTGCTCATGTGACTTCACCTGACGGGAGTCACCTTGTTAGCCATGTTAAGCAGACACCATCTCCACTTGCAATCACTTTAGAGTCTGGGGCTTCAGCATAGGAACAGGAGAGGCCCCGATTCACTCCAGAGCCCCGGTGCCTTGCGCCAGCCCCTCCGAGAGACGGCGTCACAGCCCGGTGATGGCAGCTGGCTCTGGGCTTCAGCTTCGGTGTCTCCCTTATCAGCCACGCGTGGTGGGGCCACGTGCGTGCTCATTCCATAAACAGAGGCAGCAAAAACTCACTGTGCTGCCTTGGGGGCGGAGGGACGCACCTTGCCCCGTGCTTAGCTCTGGGCTGGGCACAAAGCAAGTACTCCATCCAGGATGCCGTCAGCACTGTCTCCTGACTGTGTCTGACCTGGGCATTCGCCCTGGGCTGCAGAGCGAGCTGCTGCCCCTGGAGCTCATATTCCCCTCCCCCTTCCCCTCCCCCCCAGAGCCCCTGTGCACACGCTTCATGGACTTCGTGTGCAAGAACCGTCAGCAGTGCCTGTTCCACTCCATGGTGTGTGATGGCGTCATTCAGTGCCGCGACGGCTCGGACGAGGACCCCGCTTTCGCAGGGTGCTGTGAGTGGCAGGAGGCGTGGGAAGGGCACTCGTGGAGGGGGGAGGGGACTTGGGGGAGGGGGAGTCACTCATGGTCACAGAGGCTTGGCTGCCCTGGAGTGGACCATGGTGTGTGTTAAAGATCTTTGCCCAGTGCACGAGTCTGTAGGTCCCAAGTTAGCTGGCTTTCTTAAGGAGCGCTTCTTTGGCCTGGTTGTGGTGGTCCATGCGTATAATCCCAGCTACCCAGGAAGCTGAGATCCAGAGGATCATTGTTATAGACCAGTCAGGGCAAGAAAGTTCACTGGAATCCACCTCCACAGTAAGCAGCAAGAGGCAGGGCTGAAGACCTGAGACGAAGTGAATGTTTAGAAAGGGAAACAGGGTTGCTTCTGGTACCTGAAGACAGGCTTTGGCCTAGCATGGCGGTGTACTCCTGTAATTCCAGCTATTCACGAAAGCAAAGATGGGAGAATACAGTTCCAGGTTAGTCCAAGGTTAGTTGGGGACTCTTTGTGAAAAACAAAAAACTACAAGCAAAAAGGACTGTGGAGTATGGTCATGCTCAAGCCCGAGTTCAGTCCCCAGTACCAAAAACACAACAACAACAACAGGCGAAAGACAAAGAAAACAGAAAAGACAGGCTGCTTTGTTGGAAGCTGGTGGACACCGCCGTCCTGGCTCCTGGCACCTGTGCCCGCCGCCCGGCCTGAGCAGCGAGACCCCCCCCCC